GGGATGGTTTGTGCTCCAGGGGATGGTTTGTGCTCCAGGGGATGGTTTGTGCTCCAGGGGTTGGTTTGTGCTCCAGGGGTTGGTTTGTGCTCCAGGGGTTGGTTTGTGCTCCAGGGGTTGGTTTGTGCTCCAGGGCAGGAAAGCAAAGCCCCTGTGGGGCAGCAAAACTCCTGGAGCAGAAGGTGTTTCTGCAGAGGATCTTTCCCCTGCCGGAGGATCGTGTCCAGGGCAGGGCCAGAACTCCCGGGAAGCCTCCTGGGAAGGGCCTTCCCACCGCATTTTAACGGGAGCTCCCCGGGGGGTGTGTGTGGATGTTTGTATAACCTGGCTTATGTCCTTAACTCAACCCCCCCAAATCAAAATCTGTGACTGTTTTCAATCACCCATTTCAAAACTCAGACCCCTGAATCTTTTCTTACACACACAATATTAACTTGGGTTTTTTTCCCAAGACAGGAAATTAAGTGAAAAGAAAATGTTTCACCTGGAGGGGGAAGAAATCAAATAAAATAAAACCAAATAAATGAAATTAAATTGATTAAAATAAAATAAAAATAAAATTAATTAAAATTAAAAATAACACAAAAGATAAAATTAAATGAAATTAATTAAAATTTAAAAAATAAATTAAAATTAAATAAAATAGAAATTAAAAGAAAATAAAATTAAATTAATTAAAATAAACAAAAATAAAATTAATTTAATAAAATTAAATTAAAAATAAATTAAAACAAAATAAAATAAAAACTCCACATGTGGCTGAGGAGGAGGAGGGGTAGGACGAGGTACTCACTGCTATGGTGGAGCCATTTTTGCCAACTCCCCCTGTGAAGATCACTCCAAAGTAGTTGGTGCAGGAGAAGATGGTTCCTGCCACAGTACAGAGAGCTGGGAATATTTTCACCTGGATGTTCAGGATTGGAATCTTCACGGGAGAGAGACAGGGAGTTAACAGCTGCCCAAACAAACTCGCTGTGGGGCGAGGATCTCCCGGTGCACCCAAACACTCCACTTGGCCCAAGGTTATCCTTGCTCTGCTTTGCTAACAGGGATCTGAATCCCTCCCAGGCACACAGGGAGGGGAGTTCTCCAAGAATTCCACAATAATCCTTCCCTCCAGCCTCCCCCAAAGCCAGGCTTATCTGCAGCACCTGAGAGAGCCCCCAGAGAGGGCCAAGGAACCAGGAACTGTTGGGAGTCCCTGCAGAGACAGAACTGCTCCGTTCCCTCCTGGAGCTGGTTCCAAACTGCCCCTGCCCCAGGACCAAGGGAAGTCCCTCCCGAGCCCCTCTGAGCTTTGGGCACGGCCAGGGAGGGGAAGGAGCCCCCAGGAGGCACCTCGGGCTCTCTCACTGGGGCAGGAGGGCTGAGGGCGGCAAGAAGGGCAAAGAAGCCCCATTTCCAAAGGTCCCTTGGGGTTTCAAGCTTCCAGCAGAACAGGAGAAAGGACAGAAAGCAGCCCAAAGGAAACCACAGGAAGCTCATGGAAGGGAGTGTTGGGAGATAGATAAGTGCCCCAGACTGCCCAGCTTTCCCTGGAAAAGCTCCTCCCTCGGGAAGGGCTGAGCTGGAACCCAACACAACGAGGGCCAAAGTCCCTCCTGTGCTTTCAGTTCCCCCTCAGAGAAACCGGGGAATGTTTGGAGCTGGAAGGATCAAGTCTGACCTCAGGCACCCCAAAATCCCACCCTGAGCGTGTTTTGTCCACACACCCTTTGAACTTGAAGGTCATTCTGGAAGATTTTTGTTGCTCTCTGGGACATTCCACACCTTGCCCTGCTGACCCTTCCAGGGCACAGCTGCGGGAGGGGCAGAGCAGGTTTGACCCTTCCCACTCCCACAGCCCCCCTGGGGGCTCCTGCCCAGCCTGGCACAGCCCCACAACACTCCAAGGGGGTTTTGTCCTGCTCAGGCTGCCTTTTCAAGGCAAAAAAAAGGGAAAGGTTTAGAGAAAAAATTAAGGCAAAAGGCCGAGTGGCCACGGCCTGGGGCATCCCCCCCTCGTGCCAGGAGGGTCAGGACTTCTCAACCTTCCAAAAGCAGGTCCTTCTGCCTCAGAAATGGAACTTTGGTATTTAAAGGACAGGGTGAAATGGCTTTTATCAGCAGAAAAAAAACACTAACAAGCTCCAAGCAGGAGTCAAAAGACATTAAAGTTGACATTTCCCCGAGACAAGTGGAAAAAAGAACTCCCAGACGCAGCTAAAAGCACGGAGAAAGGTGCTGAGGGAAGGGCAGGAGGGGGAAATCACACCTAAAAACACCCAATTTCAGCCAGTTCTGCTTCATTAACACCCTCCTTTCTGCTTCCAGGGACAGGGCTGGGAGTGCAGAAATAATTAATCATTAACCATTAATGAGGAACAGCCACAGCCTGGAACCTGGGAGAGGAGAGGGATAAAAAGCTGCTAAATGGGGACAAAGTGGAAGCAGCAAAATCAAGGAAATATGGGATTGTTTTCATTTTTTCCCTCTGGAATGTTCCTACAAAATGGAACTGCAGCCCCTGGATGTGAAATCAGGGGACCCCTGGGCTGTTATTCCATAGATCTCTGCAGCCCATGGAATTATTCTGACCCTTCTGGGGATTGATTTCAGCTGAAGTCATATCCACGTGGAAATTCCCAAAAAACAGGAATTCAGGGAGGTGGCCCCAGCCAGAGGTTTTCAAGGGAACTCCCACCCTGTGTCCAACCCTCTGGGACTCCAGGGAGCTGCTGGATCCAGGGACATCCTGGGAAAGCAGCGTTCCAGCTGGGAGCAGCCTGGGATGGTGGGAGGTGTCCCTGCCCGGGGCAGGGCTGGGACTGGATGAGATTTAAGGTCCCTCCAACCCAAACCATTCCAGGATTCCACAAATCCAAGGTTTGGTTGGGAAAATCCAGGCACGTCCCCAGAAAGAAGTGGCAGCAGGAACAGAACAGTTGGAAGGGGTTGGGAGAACCTGAAGTAAAGCAGGTCCGGGAGATTCTGCCGGAAAATCCACACCAGGAATTCCAGAGTCGATGCCATCAGAGTTTTGGGATTTCAAACCTAAAATAATGAGGGAATGGGCAGGAAAAGACCCAGCTGAGGGTTCATGGAAGCAGCAGGAGGGGGTGGAAGAGACCCCAGGAATGTGGAGCTGCCTGAGGAACAACAACTTCCAGCCTCACATTCCCGAATTCTTGGTGCTTTTGGTGGCACTGCGGGAGAAAACCCAAGGAACTGCAGGACTTTCCCTGCTTCCAACAGGAAAATAAATCAATGTATGGAATATGAACCACACGATCCATGGATTAAAC